GCAGGAGTGAAGTCCTTCAGCTGGTCTCCTTGGATGCTGAACTGAACCACATACTTGAGTTTCACCTGATCAGGACTGTAAACCACATACTCGTCATCCTGGAGGACACAAGAGTGGACGTATGTTTGTGTGCGTTAGTGAATGTGTTTTATTCTGTTTATCTCCATGTAAACGCTCACGCAGTCCTACCTCAAACTCAGAGGGGGTGTTTGGAGTGCGGCGGACTCCGCGCACGCTGTCGTATCCATCGGGAGCCTGCTTCAGCAGGACGTCCGTCCTGTAGACCTGCCTGCAACGTCCCAACGCAACGTCACACACCAACAGCAGCCGGGAGCCATCCGTCACGCCGGGCTTGGAGTATTTCAGACTGGTGCTGTGGGCGGAAAACGTGACTGTGTTGCTGCCATGTTGGTCCAAAGATATCAAAACTCCAATAATAACAAGTGGAATCATTTAGCTTTTATTACTGATGGTCATTCAGAGGAAACTCTACAACCAGAGGACTGAACACAGCGTATGAACCTCACAGTCCTTCTTAGGCATGGGAACCAAGGAGAAGATGCTGAGGCACAAGATCACGTTAAAATAAGCGGCAGCGAGTCTCATGATCTGATTCAAATTGGACGTTTTGGTTCAAAGCGTTGCTGATACGCACGGCAGTCGGGGGAGAGGTGCAACACTGAGTTCAGCTGTGGTGTTGGAACCAATGCAATCATCAGATTTGTCTCCAGATTGTAACACAAAATGGGAACGCGTCTCTCGTCCTTGAATTAGTTCTTTATACTTGCCTTATGTGTCGTTTCCCACCAACGTTTGCACTCAAAAGGTCAATGAGTGAGGGCGGCTCAAGACTTTTGCACAGCAGCGTATGTGTCAGACAAAGAAACTGGTCACATTGAGATTTTCGACTAACCTCAGGGAATCACTGAAGTAGATTCCTCCGCCCAGTTTGCCGACGTCGGTTCTTTCTATCCCGTGGTGGTCGACGCCCACACGGGGCAGCAGCAGCCCACTGAAGAGGACAAAGACAAAGATATCGTTATGTTAATAAAGGAAGTCTAATCGAGCTAAATGATTGGACTAATACAGACGGACACAAGACGTACAGCCAAGTCAGTCAGCTGATCTTAACTGAGCGTTTCATTGGCTGAAGACTAAACTTTGGCTCTGCTGCTGCAGTAAAGGCACAGCACGACAAAGGAGGAAGCTCCGCATCTGGTGATGTCCATGAACTCAACACTTCAGGCTGTCAGTGGCAGAAAAGGCTTTTCAACAACTTTCACTTGTTTCATTTGTCCACTGACGTCTGAGCCCCTGAAACGATGAGATTGTGTTACATGTTTTTGTTCCCCCCTCTGAAAGCTGAAAGTCTGAACTTCATTCATTCATCGTGATAAAAACCGAACCTGTCTCTGTCCAAATGTTTATGGACATGATGTTTATTTAAAGTGAGAGAATAAGAGAGAGGACAAGAAAAAACGACATGTTTCAGAGTGATAAACACATCATACATGATAGATGTGAAACCACTGACAACATTTTAAGGTGACTGTTGTTGTGATTTGGGGCTGTAGGAATAAAGCACTAAACATCCAGAGACCCTGTGTCCGGCCGGTCAGTGTCCTTAAAGACGAATCACATTTCCCTCTAACTGGTTAAAAAGCGAGACGTCTCACACAGACAAACCTGTGGTGTGACCCAAAGCGTCACGGTCCTGGGTCGGTGTGTTTAGATTT